TGACCTATCTATATTGTGTGTGTTAATTATAATGCTCTTGATCCCCTTTTCCCTCCCTCCCCAACCCCTTTTCCTTTAGTAACCACTAGTCCCTTCTTGAAGTGTGAGTCTGCTGCTGTTTTGTTCCTTCAGTTTTGCTTCGTTGTTATGCTCCACAAATGAGGGAAATCATTTGGTACTTGTCTTTCTCCACCTGGTTTATTTCACTGAGCATAATACACTCTAGCTCCATCCATGATGTTGCAAATAGTAGAATTTGTTTTCTTCTTATGGCTGAATAATATTCCATTGTGTATATATACCACATCTTCTTTATCCATTCATCTACTGATGGACACTTAGGTTGCTTCCATTTCTTGGCTATTGTAAATAGTGCTGCGATAAACATAGGGGTGCATATGTCTTTTTCAAACTGGGCTTTTACATTCCCGGGTCAAATGGTATTTCTATTTTGAGTTTTTTGAGGAACCTCCATACTGCTTTCCACAATGGTTGAACTAATTTACATTCCCACAAGCAGTGTAGGAGGGTTTCCCTTTCTCCACAACCTCGCCAGCATTTGTTGTTCCTTGTCCTTTGGATGGTGGCCATCCTAACTGGTATGAGGTGATATCTCATTGTGGTTTTAATTTGCATTTCCCTGATAATTAGCAATGTGGAGCATCTTTTCATGTGCCTGTTGGCCATCTGAATTTTTCTTTGTAGAAGTGTCTGTTCAGATCCTCTGCCCATTTTTTTAATTGGATTATTTGCTCTTTGGGTGTTGAGGTGTATGAGTTCTTTATGTATTTTGGATGTTAATCCTTTATTGGACATGTCGTTTACGAATATATTCCCCCATACTGTAGGATGCCTTTTTGTTTTACTGATGGTGTCCTTTACTGTACAGAAGCTTTTTAGTTTGATGTAGTCCCATTTGTTCATTTTTTGCTTTTATTTCTGTTGCCTGAGGAGATGTGTTCAGGAAAAAGTTGCTCTTGTTTATATTCAAGAGATTTTTGCCCATATTTTCTTCTATGAGTTTTATGGTTTCATGACTTATGTTCAGGTATTTGATCCATTTTGAGTTTACTTTTGTGTATGGAGTTAGACAATAATTCAGTTTCATTCTCTCTTTTTTTAAATTAGTTAATTAATTTTTTTTTTAAATTCTTTTTTCAGTTTCATTCTCTTATAAATAGCTGTCCAGTTTTGCCAACACCAGGTGAAGACTGTCACTTCCCCATTGTATATCCATGGCTCCATTATCGTATATTGATTTGCCACATATGTGTGGGTTTATATATCTGGGTTCTCTATTCTGTCCCATTGATTTGTGGGTCTGTTCTTGTGCCAGTACCCAATTGTTTTGATTACTATGGCTTTGTAGTAGAGCTTGAAGTTAGGGAGGGTAATCCCCCCTGCTTTGTTTTTCCTTCTCAGGATTGTTTTGGCTATTTGGGGCCTTTTGTAGTTCCATATGAATTTTAGAACTATTTGTTCTAGTTTGTTGAAGAAAGCTAATGGTATTTTGATAGGGATTGCTTTGAATCTGTAGATTGCTTTAGGCAGGATGGCCAGGAAAGTCTCCTCTTCCATTTCTGATTTGAGTCCCTTCTCCTTTTTCTTGGTGAGTCTAGCTAAAGGTTTATCAGTTTTGTTTATTTTTTCAAAGAACCAGCTCTTAGTTTCACTGATCTTTTCTATTGTCTTTTTAGTGCCTATTTATTTCCACTCTGATCTTTGTTATTTTCTTTCTTCTGCTAACTTTGGGCCACATTTATTCTTTTTCTACTTCCTTGAAGGGTAAAGATTGTTTATATGAGATCTTTCTTCTTTCTTGATGTAGGCATTTATGTTTATGAACTTTACTTTTAAAACTGCTTTTGCTGTATGCTTTAGGATTGTACTTCCATTTTCATTTGTCTCAAGGTATTTAAAAAATTTTTCTTTTGATTTTTCTTCTTTGCATGTTTTATCTTCACATATTTTTCAATTTTCTTATAATTTATGTCTAGTTTTCATATTGTAATAGGACAATTTTATAATTTAATTATATAATTAAATTGATATGATTTTAATCTTCTTAAAAATATTAAGACTTGTTTTGCAGCCTAACATAAGATCTATCCTTATGTTAGGATAGATGTTCTGTCCTTTGATCAGAGAACATGTGCACTTGAGAACAATATGTAACTGTTCCTCTTGATTGGAACAGTTACTGTCATATAAATATTATGCTTATGTCTGTTAAGTCCATCCAGCCTGTGTGTTATTTAAGGCCAGTGTTTCCTTATTAATTTTCTGTTTGGATGTCCTATCCATCGATGAAAGTGGGGATATTAAAGCCCCTGCTGTTATTGTGTTCCTGTTTATGCCTCCTTTTAAGTCTGGTAGTATTTTCTTTACATATTTAGATGCTCCTCCACTGGGTGCATAAGTACTTATAAATGGTATCTCCTCTTGCTGGAACAGCCCCTTTATCATCGTTTAGTGACCTTCTTAGTCTCTTATTACAATCTCCATTTTAAAAAGTCTTTCTTGTCCGATATTCATAGAGCTACCCCCCCTTTCTTTTGTTTCCCGTCTGCGTGGAATCAGTTTTCCATCCTTTTACTTTCAGTCTGTGTGTCCTTACGTCTGAAGTAGGTCTCTTGTAGGCAATATATCGGTAGGTTTTATTTTTTCATACACCCAGCTACTCTTTCTTTTGATTGGATAATTTATTCCAATTACATTGAAAGTAATTATTGATAGATAGGTACTTAACTGCCATTTTGTTCATTGTTTTCTGGCTGTTCTGTAATTCTTCTGTTCCCTTCTCTCACTCTGTTGATTTATGATTTGATGATTTTCTCTAGTAGCATATTAGGTCCATTTTCTCTTGTCTTTTGTGTATCTGATACAGTTTTTTGCTTTGTGCTTACTGTGAAGTTTGTATAAAACAGTTTACATTTATAAGTCTATTTTAAGTTTATAACAACTTAAGATTGAATGCATTCTAAAGCTCTGCAGTTTTACCGCCACCCCCATGTTTTACCTTTTTGATGTCACAATTTACGTTTTCCTATCTTGTGTATTCCTTAAGTTATTTTAGCTAATTATTTTGATCACCTCTGTCTTTTAATCTTCGTATTGGCTTTATAAGTGAGTAACCCACCACTTCTACAAAATTAATCCGAATCTTAGTATAACGTTTTCCAGCGAGAGTTACTGTGTTACTGAATAACATCCTTTGGTTCGACTTGAAGGCGATCCCTCCAGCCTTTCTGGGAGTCCGGCCTGGTGGTGGTCTGGCTTTGCCTGTCCAGAAAACCCTCCCTCCGTTCCGTGTGGCAGTGTCCTGGGTTGAGCGTTCTTGTTGGGTGGTTTTTCCTTTGAGCACCTTGAGAGTCCTGTCCCAGTCCCTCCTGGCTGCAGCGTTTCTGTTGAAAAGCCTGCTGTAGTAGTTTTAGGGGGCTGCCTTGGGCTTCAGTTGTTTTTCTCTTGCTGCTTTTGTGACTCTGTTCCTGTCTTTAACTTTGGCTCTGAATTACCACGTGGAGCTCTTTGGTTTCATTCATTTGGAAGCAGCTGGGCTTTTGCCTCTGGATACCTGGCAGCGGCCTCAGGTAGGGAATGTGTCAGGCATTGTTCTCCAGGTAAGTTTCCCGTCCTCCCCTCTCCCTCCTGCTGAGACTCCTGTAATGCAAACGCCCTCGGCTTGATGTTGGCCCAAAAGTCTCTTAAGCTGTCTTCACTCTGTTTCATTCTTTTTTCTTTGCTCCTCTGATTAGGTCAGGTCCTCTGCCTGTCTTTGAGGTCACTGACCCTGTCCTCTGCGTCCTCTAGTCTGTGATTGAGCCCTTGTATTGTATTTTTCAGTTGGGTTTTATATTTTTCAGTTCTGTGACTTCTATTTGATGCTTGCTTATATTCTGTATTTCTTTGTTGAAATTCTCAGCTTGGCTCGTCCCTTCTTCTGAGCTCAGTGAGCATCTTTGTGACAATCACTTCGAACTCCTTATCAGGCAGGGCACTTGTCTCCATTTCACTAGGGTCTTTTTCTGAGTTTTTATGTTGTTTTTTTATTTGGAACTACTGCTGTTTCTTCAGTTTCGGTTTCTGTGCATTAGATAAAACGCCACCTCCCCCAGTCTTGACGGAGTGGGTCGTGCAGGAGAGGAACCTACCTGTTCAGCCCCGCCCTGGTGCGTACTTGTCTCTCAGACCTCTGTGACTGCCTAAGTGGCCTACTTTATTTTTTAGTGGCTCCTGTAGTTGGGGGTGTGCCAAGACCTGTGAGTGTCCTAAAGGGGAGGATGTCAGTCAGCAGCTACATTAAAGCTGATGAGAGCCAGACCTTCAAGCAACATCTTCTTAAAAGTATGCAAATATACCTCCTTGGGGGTAAGAGATGTGCATCTCTCTGCTCCCTCTGTGCTGAGCCTAGGGTGATAGCCAGTTAAGAACTGTAAGAATATACTAATTTATCCTCCATTTACCCCATGGTCCCAAGCACATAAGCCCGTGAGAATTATGCCAGGGCTTGCCTGGGCTTACCCGCCTTATCTCTAAACATCCCGACCCTCCCCCAAAGCAACAGGCCCAGCGGATCCGCCACAATAAAAGGCACCACGCTGCTGCCCTCTCTCTCTCTCTGTCT